CCCAAGTGCTTAAGACATAAGTTTTACCGACTCGAGAACCGTACGTTCAAAGCTATTTTCACTACTTAAAAAAAGCAAAAAACTTTAAATAAGTTTAACTTTCTATGCTATATCAAATTGATTTATATAATATTTATGAAAATCAGTGTACTCCCATTGTCAGGTATTATAAATTAAAATAAAATACAAAACACAAAATTTTAACACAAAAATAGCATATTTTTGAATACGGTAGTCATTTTTACCATGAAGACAAATCCAGAGGTCAATTTTTTTTTTCAAATTAAAGTATATTACATAAGCTTTAATTTAAGATATATATAAATGTGTCAGTATTTCTGGAAGACTTTCAATAATTAAATTGAAAATGTCCTAGTTTCAATAAGAATGTTTAAGGTTTTGACCCCCTTTGTATAAAGTTTTTTACAAAAAAAGTGTGTCCGATGAAAACCCCTTTCATCTCTATAAATATTTTTAATATTATAAATAATAATATTGATCCATACATTTCTCCAAAAGTTATAGCAATATAAATTTAATAATATAACATACAAAATCGAGAATTTTTTCACGGAAATCGTACGTTTTTCTTTAACTTTGATGTCCGTTTTCACTATGAAGACAATTCCAGAGGTCAAAATTTTTTTTTTCAAAATAAATTATATTACATATAAAAATATATATAAAAGTGTCAGTCTTTCCGGAACATTTTCAAAAGTTCTACTTTCTATACGCATTTTAAAAGGTTTGCACCTCCCCTCCTATATAAACGGAAATGGTCCGATTTAAAAAAAAGTATGTCGAATGAAAGAAGTATATATAAAGTATTTATCATTAAAGAATAAAGTTGATTCATGCATTTTTTAAAAAGTTATAACAACATAATGTTAAAAAATGTAAAATATAATATCAAGAATTTTTTCACAAAAATAGCATATTTTTGCATACGGTAGTCATTTTCACCATGAAGACAAGTCCAGAGGTCAAATTTTTTTTTTTCAAATTAAAGTATATTACATTAGCTTTAATTTAAGATATATATAAAAGTGTCAGTCTTTCCGGAACATTTTCAAAAGTTAAGTTGAAAAAGTTCTACTTTCTATACGCATTTTAAAAGGTTTGCACCTCCCCTCCTATATAAACGGAAATGGTCCGATTTAAAAAAAAGTATGTCGAATGAAAGAAGTATATATAAAGTATTTATCATTAAAGAATAAAGTTGATTCATGCATTTTTTAAAAAGTTATAACAACATAATTTTAAAAAATGTAAAAAATAAAATCGAGAATTTTCACACAAAAATAGCAATCGGTATGCCATTTTCACCACAAAGACAAGTCCAGAGGTAAAAATTTTTTTTTTTCAAATTAAAATATATTACATTAGCTTTAATTTAAGGTATACATAAAAGTGTCAGTCTTTCCGAAACATTTTGTAACGTTACGCTACGGCTTTAGCATTGTTTGACAGTTGCAAGAAAGTCCGCTGGACAGCGCTGTTTGACAACCTTTATTCAAAAGAATGTAAATTAATGTATTTATTTTTTATTATATTTATCGTAATAATTATTTTATGTTACATATCAGTCTTAACGAGAACTCGAAAATGAAATAGAAAATTAAAATACGCATTTGTTTTTTGGAGGGTATTTAAAAAATAAATTATATGCGGGCAATTGTTTTACACTACTCAGGTGGTGACGGGTAGCATAAAGTACACCGTCACTACTTGTACAATTATTCTCTAAGAATTCTAATAGTTTATCATTAATTCTTCTTTTCTTTATGTCGTTTTACTAGTGATCGCAATATTAATTGCCAACTGGTCTTCATCCATTCAACTTTCCATTGAGAACGTTTTCTTTATTTTTTCCTTATATCTTAACTCTTATTACATATATAATTTTCAACGGTGTTCGTAACTAAGCGTTACCAACCGTGATCAAAATTATACATTCTTTTCTTTAAAAGTTAGTAATAATCTTCAACGGTGATCATAACCATCGTGTTATCAACCGTGATCAAGATTACTAGCTTTTTCTAAGTATTCCTCTTTAATCCTTTGCAACGGTGCTCGTAATAAACGCTTTACCAACCGTGATCCAAAGGGTTAGATTCCACCACTTACATAATACAGTTCATCTTCAACGTTGAAAAAGTTAATTTTTTGTAAAAAAATTACCATTTTGAAACCCTTCCTGTTGACTGTTAAAGGGTCAAATGTTCACAAAAATATATAAAATGATAGGTAAATATCTAAATATCTATTAAAAAAACATTATATTGATTCGGTTATTTTTAAAAAAGTTATGGCAATTTTAAGTAAAAAAAAATTGAAGAAATGTCGAAAATTAGCGATTTTTAAATTTGTAATTTTTGGGGGATTTCCCCCGTTTACGGGGAACGAGGGAATTTTGTTGATATTGTTCATCAAAATCGGTCCAGCGAGCGCTGAGATTGAGCGTTCACAGACACAAAGAACAAAAAAAACCCATAGTAAAATTAATACCTTCTCAGCTTCACATCGAAGCTAAATTAAAACACAATACACATAATATTATTTTAAAGGTCGTAGTAGAAAATAGAAATGAAAATAATAATAATATCGATTATACTATTATAGCAAACGAATAACGCGAGCGTTAATTCTAAAAATAAATTACCCAATACAGTACTAATATTTTAGTGAGTGGACGACGCTGCCGGTCGTTCAAAACAAGTACATAAGATTGCAGCTTAACCGTATCCGCACGCACACAATTGGGTACCTAATTTATAATATACGTTTCCAAATATTGTTCGGAAGAAGCTGTAGGTCGTCCAAACACTGCTCGTATGTACAGCGTACTCGTATGTGTACTCGTGGTATCTGTGGGAAACAACTTTAATGTTCGTACACGACAAATGTATTATAACTATTTTACTATTTAAAAATTGAATTTTATAGGATGATCCAATAAGTAACGAGAGCAGACAATAATTAAATAAAAAATAACCAGTTATATTAGAAGTTCTTCAAAGAGTATCTTAAATTTAAGGGGTAACGGGGAGCCCTTAAACACTAATGGCCGACGAAGCGGCATAAAACAAAATAATTAAACAAATAATAAATAACATTAAAAAATAATATAAAAACTCAGCTGAATAGATGAAGTTCTTGATAGTGATGAGTGGACTGTATGAGATCTTGTGGTAATGGTATCGAACATCTAAGTATCACGAGTCCGAGTGTAGATCCAGGCACGTTATGGCAGATGAAAACAGACGGCGGAAAAGCGACTACGTCAATGGATAGGACCCAATCATTAGTGGCGTGCAAGGGGACGAGAACTTTGGCCACAAGGGTGAAATATACAAATAATAAAAATTATGACATACAATGGCCGAACAATTTACCATTCAAGGGAAGACGCTTGCAAAAAAAAAAAAAAATGATACATAAATTCATTGATGTACGACGATGAACTGTACACGGATGACAATAGACACGGTGGCCATCGATTTGCTGTGCTGGGTGGGCTAGGGGGTGAGTAAAACAAAGACACAAGAGATCAGCTGTCAACGATATATTGTAATCAACGATGTTTGTAATTACTGGTCCACTAGGTCTTTGCTAAATGACGTTTTCTACAAAACAATATTACACTGAACAGAGAAACCACAATTTATTCAAATCAATCAAGGTGACTAAGATCGATATAGACTTTTAAATGGATTAATTATTAATATTTAATCATTTCAATTATAATTAAATTAATAAATAGAGTGAAAGAAAACAGCAATTTGAGTAAATTTTCTTCATAAGTTAACTTAGTAGCTTATAAAAAGAAACACGAAATATATGCAGATTTCTTATTAAAATAATAAAATTAATATCATATATGATAAATTGTGTATGTATAAGTAAAATAAATTATACTCAAATTGGTAACATAAGCATTTTTATATCAAAAAAAAGTTTTAAATTTACTAAAGAACTTAAACCATATAAATTGCACTTTTAAATAATTTAATTATTTAATATATAAAATAATATAAAAATTAACTAAACTAGGGTATAATACAGAATTAAATTGTATCTACTAGTTTTGGTAATGCATCATAATCGGTTAAATAATTAAAAAATTAAATAAAACTAAGAACAAAAATCGATTAGGCATAAATGAAACAAAATAAACAAAAATGTAAAATTAGAAAAAAAAATAAAAGGATTGAGGCTATTTGTTGTTACTGTTCAATTGCATTTATTTAAACTGTTTCGTAAGCAAATTTGTTCCACTTAGCACAAAGTATCACATTTTCTTACGAAAGCTCGATTTTTATTTAAATATTGTATTTTCAATGATCAAAAAAATGTGAGTATTTAAAAAAACACTTAATATAGCGTAAGAAACATCATATAAAAATTGACGATTAAATAGATGTAAAATTATGATCAAACATTTTAGAATACTATCCAAAAAATATAAAATATTTGTCTTTTATTGAGACTGATGACATAACTCTAAGTAATAGAATACAGTGAAAATTGAATCATTTTGAACAGTACTTTTTTCATTAAGTTCTACACATTTTGAAATAAATTATTAACAGATAAATAATACAAGATAGTATTATTTATTCAAATAAAAATAAATTATATAAGAATAACATTTATATTATTTAAGAAATATTTTTTCTTAATTAATTTTATAATTGGGTTATCCCATGTACCAAAATAATTTTATTTAAACAAAAAAATAATTCTCCTAAAATAAAAATTAATTAATTACTTCTCTATACATTTAAACAGAATTTAATTACATAAAAAGTGAGATATTGTTTTAATTGAACTTTGTAATAACAATAAAGGAAATAACAGAAAAAACGACTATTTAAGTTTTTAAAAACTATACTTAATCATAATAAAAATGATAATATGTATTGTACTAAGATTTAAATACTTTCAGACTTATACTATCAAACTTAGATAATTACTATGGATTATAAAATATTACATACCATTCATAGACATGCATACTTTAAGTATATCATTCTTTTTCGGCGAAAAAAATCTTAGAAAACGCGACTTAGCAAACAGTATTACCTTTACAAAGGTTGGAACACAAATCAAGAGATTTTAAAAATTACTAACGGACCAATTTAAATGTGCACATCAAACGCTAAATGCTCTATACAACCGAAAATAGTCGGTAGAACACGAACATAGCCGATCGAGGAATAACGAGTTGTATGTATTCCCTATTTCATAGAAAATTCTAGAATACAAATTCTAAAATTAAAATTTATGTAATTATTATTATAATAGAATTAAAAATAAAAATTAATCCTATTACAGTTGTAAAAGTGCATAGTTTTAATTTACATTTAATAATGATATAATGTAGAACTAAATCTTAATGAAGAAAAAAAAATTATTTATTATAAAAATTGTTTTTATTACAATAATAGATATGATCAACATTTTTACTATAAAGTTACTGCTACTTTAATTAAATGCATAGGAATATTTGATATTTAATTAAATAACAATTATAGGATATTAAATTAAATTATACATTGAATAAATCAAAACAAGGATATATGGGCGAAGTTAAATAGGTGGTGTCACATTTTGTGAAGCACGATCATTATCACATTCATGTAACATATTATTGCTAGATTATATTTATAATATTGAACGGCGTGCGTGTAAAAAGACAATATAAATACATTAATATTTAAAAAGTGTTTTTAGACAAATAAAATAAAAAAAAATCATGTTATTTATTTGACGTACCTTTGAAATATCCCATTTAGAATATTTACAAATAAATTAATATCTTATATTACAATTTACGCAAGCGTTAATATAGTCTTTTATAATATCTTTTAGAAAAATATGTATAGAAATGCATAAAAATTATCCTATGTTCCTATACCCGAGTTAATTTAAATATTTTTTTTTTAAAAAATAATTTTCAAAAAAACTTGATTTTTAAAATAATCTTATAAAATTAGCCTTTTATAATCTTTTCTAAAAATAATGCAAATCTTTAGCTCATTTTTATTTAATATGCCACAAAATAGCGGTCTCAGAATTAATTTTTGAGGGGTGTAATAGGCGAAATGTGCCATTACATTTAAGTCAATCCAACCCAATCAATCAAGTCTGATTTGAAGTATACAACATAATTTTAATAATGAAATATAGTATTTAAACTTGTCAAAAGTTTATGTTAATAATAACTTAAAGTATAATAGGCTAAAATATACAGTCCTTAGTACTTAAAAGGAAATTACCTAGGTTTTTATCAATATATTTATTTATTGATATAGTTACATAAGTTGTTTTATAAGTCAAAAATGTTATTAAAATTCTTATTATGTTTTTAGAATTTATATAAGTTCAATACTTTTTTATTTAAAAAAATTGTATAATTTACATTTATTCATCAAAACTAATATTATTCAGATGAGACAGTGGTTTTTTAACACGCTTATATTAGTTTCACCTGTATGTATGTATGTATGTATGTATGTATGTATGTATGTTTGTTAGTAACTCTGCAAACGCCACGCGTTATCGCATATTCCGTCGTCTAGACTAGACTGTCATAACGCATTCACCCCACCCCACGCCTCGCTCAACAAACGCCAGCAATACTATTCCTGTATAAATTTATTTTCGGTTTTCGTACCCGTACACACGTCCGTGTCATCAATATTATACAGGTGGCCCACCACTCACTGACAACTTAAATAACTTTTGATCCAGTTAATATTTTTAGCTGATTTTTTATTGAGAAAAGGACAGAAGAAAACGCTATCTTTTCATGATTATTGTGTATACATATGATGATAAAGTGTATACATTACAAACTTGGCATTAATACCATGATAAGAAATTAGATAAGGCAATTATTACTTATCACTCTCATTCAAAAGTATATTGAAAAGATAGCGTTTTCTTCTGTCCTTTTCTCAATACGTATTTCAATGTTTATAACCGTAAAATAATACATGAAAATTCAAATTTTTACAAACTTCAAAACGCTACAGAATATTTACTACTGAATATTAATAAGATATTTTTTTACTAAAATTTTTCTTAAATTCTACTCTACAAAATAGCTATCTTAGATTTTTTTTTTACATTTTATTTAAAATTTTAAAATAATTAATATTTTTAATAAAATGTAAAAAAATTAATTATTGAGATATAGCTATAGACCTAACGTATAAATATTATTTTAAAAAAAAATCAACTAAAAATATTAACTGGATCAAAAGTTATTTAAGTTGTCAGTGAGTGATGGGCCACCCTGTATATATATTCTAATTACTATTAAAAATATATATTAACACACTTTATTCTTATTTAGAGATATAGAACTCATTCATTCCGATTACAAAGGATGAATCCAGTATCGTCATTTTTCGTCACTACCTCCATGTTCTGGGAGTGGGTAATTTACGCGCCTGCTGCTTTCCTTGGATGTGGGGGCCGTTTTCAGACTCCCTCCCCGGAATCGAACCCTGATTTCCCGTTACCCGTTACAACCATGATATTGATAGTAACCTCTATCATAACATAAAACTAAAAAGTGAAAAATAAATATAGTTTAAAAAAACTAAAAAAACACGCTTTTAAAGCACATCGAACTAAAAAGTTAAAAATAATTTTTAAAATAAGCTTAAAATAATTATGAATAAAAAATACTAGTATTATTGTGATAAAAGCGTGGGTGCTTTGTGCCATATTTTTCGTATATTGAGCGCCCGACGCTTTTATCACAATAGTACTAGTATTTTTTGTTCATTATTGTTTTAAGTTTATTTTAAAAATTATTTTTAACTTTTTAGTTCGATGTACTTTAAAAGCGTGTTTTTTTAGTTTTTTTAAACTTTATTTATTTAATAAATTGATTATAGTAATTTCCACAATTAATTGATAAAATAGTTTAAATGTGTCAATAACTTTATACTTAAACTTACCTGGTATGAGCCGACTGACACTAAGTAATGGTGACTTATGTCTAAACTTAATATTTATTTATTTATTTATTTATGCGCATTTGATTCATGCAAATATATTTTATCGAATGATTATGGATTACAATTAGCAACCGCATAAACAAAATAGTTAAAATAACATATGAAAAGTAAAAACTTTAATGATAAAAGTAAATTAAGATGGAAATTTCTAAGGTACATAAAAAAATAATAATAATTTATTTTACATGAAGGAGTATTTCTATTGTTAACAATTTTTAAAAAATACATTACTCTTAAGAACTATTTTTTTTGACATTTTTAAATAACTTATTTTTTGTAAATCCCAACCCAACTCTAACTTGATTTCATCATAAAGTTTATAATAATTAATTAATAAACACATTTTTAGAATTTCGTACTGGAAGATTTTAACGCATAAAATGTACGGGAAAATTTTAATAATAATAAAAATGTTATATAAGTGTGTGAATTTTTGATACTTCATCTCAAAATTACAGTACTTGTGTGTAAAAGTAAAGTGTATGTTAAAAGTATTATACCAACGTACTAGAATTTTTGGATAATTTCTTACAGTGTTTATTAGAATTGTAAAACAAAAAAAGAGTCCTGTTATATTTAGTGTTTTTAAGATCAAAAACAGCTTTTAAATAACATTTCTGTAGATCATAATAAAATATTTATATTATGAAAATCATCATATCATAAAATAGTCAATTTTTTCAAAATATTTTGAGTCATTTATTGTAAACAAAGGGTTTAATATTTCAAATATTGACGGATAAAACTCCTTTTATAGATTTAAAATATAGCTTAACAAAAATCAAAATTTTGTCAATATTTTTTTTTAATGTACAATATGGATTATTACCAATGTAATAATATTAGACCTATTTTCGATATTAACTAAATAAATAGCCAATATTGTATAGGAAACTATTTATCTAGAATTAACTTTTAAAAAATATATTTGGTAGGCAAGTTGGACGTTCCCATTTATAATTATGATCTATTTATAATTTACAGTCTATGGTTTAGTATTTTCCCTTTATGTCTATATATATATATATATATGTAGCTTGGTAGATAGACAAAACAAAACTAATAATGGTTTGATTTATATTATTAAAGGTTTCTTTTATCTTAATACGAAAATAAAGCGATGTGTTTTATTATTTCGAAAAACTAAGATAATATCTTTAAGTTATGCATACATATACATTTTATATGTACCACAATTAATTACTGAGATATTAAATAAACTTTTAATAATATTGGTATATATTAAAAAAATTATTTGTTTTTTTGAAGAATGTGAAATTATGATGATATAATTATTACATAATTCCTCCCTCTAAAGCCGGGTTCCCACTACTGGTGTATTTGCCGAACATTCGCTATTTGTCTTTGTTTGTCAAGCAGTGGGAACGGTGTACTTGTACGTGTGTTCGGCGTTTGTTCATCGGCATCTTCCCGACGGTTGTCGGTATTTGTGACACGAATCAAAGGGATTATAAATATTTGTCCAAATACGCGATAAGTGGGAACGGTCTACTCCTCGGCTATGTTTTTTATTTCGACGACTATTTGATCAAAATCAATACTTAATTTATTTATATAAATTGTTTTAGTTAATTTAATTATTTGTTTTAATTAGTTAAATAAATTTTCAATTTTTTAAATTATTATACAGAGTGATTTTTTTACCGCTGGTCAATCAAGTACCTTTAAAATAATAAGTATTTTATAAACTAGGCTCCGCCTAGCTGGGGCTCCGCCCCAGACCCGGGGCCCTTCGAGCCTTACGCGCCTTCGGCGCGTAAGTCTCTTCGGGCCGTCATCATAAGTAGGCCACTGATTCCGGTAGAAGTACCCGGCTACGCCGGGCACGATAAGTGTTTTTCAGAAAAAATATTACTTCAGAATCAGTGAAAACTATAGAAAACTATATCTAAAAATGTTATTATTAAAATCAGGAAAATTCAAAAAGAGAATATAGTAAAATGTATTGGGTATAAGGTTGAAGCCTCTTAATGAGGTATTCCCTTTAGGCCTATTCAAAAATTATTTTAGGAGGAAATTTAATATTTTTTACTTTGTTAAACATGTTATAGAAATTTTTTTGCTAAAATTAAAGTAATGATGAAAAAAAAGGACATTAGGTCCTTATATATTAGAAGTTGCC